AAAAGGGAATTAAAGAATTTGTGTGATGGTATCAGAGTAAGTGAACTGGTAGTGTTCAGAGGGTTAGATGCTGGAAATCCAAATAGTTATTGATGACAGCAAGTTCTAGGAGAAGGTGTAACAGACAAAGGAACAGCTTGTTGGAGACAAAAAGAGGTCGATATTGAAAGACAGGGTATTGGATGACTCTGTGTACATGGTGATGAAGTGTGGAAGAATTAGTGAGGAGATGGGGAGTGAGTGAGGTGTTCACTTCCTCAGTGAATGAGAGGACTGATCAGGAAGACAGGGCAGATATCAGTTGTGATAATCCGGCTGACCTGGGGAGGAGAGAGGTGACCTGGAGATAATAGGACACCAGGAGGAGAACTCCCCTCCCAGGTGTTGTGTTAAGGTGTTGCGTTAATGGGAGGGCAAGAAAACACTATGGAACACCCCACATAGGATCAGTGTTCCATGTTAGCACTTAGAAACCATGTAGCATTTATTACAGTTTGAATTATGGACTTTGCAACAGCTCAAGTTGTTTGCCTAGCTACTGTCCAGATTGGTTTGCTCTGTGTGTTACGTTAAAAAATAGTACAGAAGGAAGAAATCACCATTTCATTCCGCTCTATTTTAGATGAGGGGTCAAAAGGTCTCTTTCTCCCCCTCACCTGGATGAATGCAGTGTCTGCTCACTGGCCCTTTGCTTGCACTCTTGACCTCATTGTGGTCTGCTCTCCATACAGAGGTCAAAATGATCCATCTTTCTAGAGAAGGAACAATTGAGCTGAGCATTACTATAATTTGCATCTATTTTTATTTTATTTATTTATTTATTTATTTTTGCTGTAACAGCTATACACTGTTAGCTGACACGCATGGCAGGAGGAACTCAGTTTAGACATCATCTTATAATTTTACCATCTACGTGATGTAAGGATTTGGTCAGAATTGAGGCGAGGCGAGCCATTTTAAGTAATAGTTATCCTTCCTAAATCTGTATGTATAACAATAATAAAATGTTAATATTACCTTGAAAACCACATGATGTTTGAGCTGCACTTGAGGAATTAGGTAATTCTAGCACTTTATTTGCCCTCATTTAGTACGTCATAAAGCAAACAAGTAGAATTTGAGGAATAACATGGCTTAATGTTTGTGTCATTTAGCAGACAGGAGGTACGTGTGTAAATATCAGATCACCTAATTCTTTACACTTGGTTGTTAATAAAATGTTGGCACTTTAGTGCATATTATCATACTTTTTTATGATGATACACTGCAGCAGCATTTATATTAATTTTCTAGATGAAGAAACAGATTGAGAGAGTTTGGAAGGTTTACCCAAGAACATAATGAGAAGATGGAGCAAAGACATAAACTACTGTATTCTGTTACCAAATCCTGTGCTTTTCCACTTACAGATCTCACTTCCTGCTAATAGAGGAATTTGAGGCCTGCGGCATTGGTTTAGGCTCTGATAAAAAGGTTTTGTTATGAAGTTAGGATTTTCTTCCTTTGCTCACTTCTAAAATAAGTAGGTGGAATTATGGCATTGTGATGGTGCAAACTTAGGACTGCTGTTTTAGCTTTAGGTGAGGCTGATGGTTCCTAATTTCATGACAAAGGTCTTTTTCTACAGGGTATCCAAGCTTAACTTTTTTTTGGTCTATCAGACATCATTTATTTGTCAAACTTGGTTTTGTGTTTTTTTCACCTCTTAATCGGTGCTTTTAATCAGCATGAGAACTGATTTCTCACTGAATTGATAGACTCAGCCAAAAGCAAAGTGACATTATTTTTTTTAGCCTGTATTGTTTGTTTTATGTGACAGATTATAATTTTTTTCATTACTGAAATAGTTAGTTTTTGCATACCTTTAAGAGTCCCAGGGACCCCCTCTCCCCCAATTAAGAGCAGTTGATGTGTAAAGGTGTTAACAGTAAAGATGATGCTTACTGGCTTCCTCCTAGCATATATTTTTCTCTTGATTCTCTCAGAGCATTGTATCCTTTTACTTAGGATAACCCATTTACAGGATAATGGGTTGTGGTATTAACTGATATATCCACTTTCTGTATAATGCATGCCTGCCATGCTGCAGGGACTCCCCACTAGATTTTGGGGATTCAACGTGTAAATACCACGTAATCCCTGTCTTTGAAGAGCTTATGCTAGTGTAAGAGGGAGACAGCATTGCTCTCTGAGTGTAGTAAGTATTATAGTAAGATGTTAGTCACAGTGGGAGCGCCGAGGAATGTGAGATGACTGGTGGTGGTCAGAGGATCCTTAGCAGAGGACCCGGGGTCTGGTGATTACAGGATAGGCTGTGGAATCCGGTAGTTCTGGTTTTGAATCCCAGTTGTGCTATTAGAGAATCATATGATTTAGGGCAAGTTAAATCACTTCCTTAACAATATTTTTCTCATCTGTAAAATGAGGATAATACCTACTTTCTAACTTTGTAAAGACCTGATAAGAAAATGGAGAGGACTCAGCAGTACATGGTAGCTGCTCACTAAGTCAAAGCTGCAGTGGTTACCATTGCTGTTCCTGCTGCTGTGGTTGTGACTCTTACTTTGAAGGGTGAGTAGGGTTAGCTAGATAAAGAAAGGCAGAGGAGAATGGGCTTTCTAGAGACAGGAAAGAGGGTAATAGAAGACATGGTGCCCAAAGACATTTGAGGAATAAGGTAATAATAGTAACTACTTTTAAGATTATATTGAAACTAAAATACGTCATACATGTATAATAAAGCATATAAGCACTCAAAAGTAGAGTCAGTTTTTAATCCACTTTTCTCCCTGTGTAGTTCCTTTTTTAAATATCTGGGTTCTTTTTGCATTTCTCAATCTCTATTGTTTCCTTCCCTGGTTTATTTTCTACTTCTTGATGTGTTACCTCAAGATGTGTAGGACATCTTTCAAAGTTTAATTGTCTGCTCTCACTTCTCTGATCTTTTCTGTTGGAGAGCTAGAAGCTCTCCTGGCTTCCTCTGTCACTGTCACACAAATGCCTTTCAGCTGAGTCAGTTGCGCTTACCTCTTTCTTAGATTCCTCTCAATTAGATCTAATTGGTCTCCTAAAATTTCTACTTGACACATTCATCTACCCTTCCAAAATTGTTTCATTTGTTCAATTTCAGAAAATATTGGAAGGGAACTGATCTACATTTGTCAGATTTTTACTTTGTCAAGCAGTGATATTTAAGAAAAAATTCAAACTCCCATGTACTACATTTCATACAGAAAAGAACAATTTAACCTAAAAGTTTAGAAAGATGTTAATCTTAGAATTAAAAAATATGTAGCTGTAAATCTAATGTGGTGAGTACTTCATTGTTTTTTTCTTTTTGCTTCAGATGAATGAAAATGTAATATATAATAAACACTGCTTTGGAGTAAGCCTTATTCTGTCTTGACATCGATCTGTCCAAAATTTGACTTTGATCGTATTTTTTTCAGTGCTTAAAATGGCTCACCACTGCCTAACAGAAAAGGAAAAAAAATTCCTCATTTCTTTACACTTTGATTCCAGCTCTCTTTTCTAGTCTTTCCTCTTGTCATATTTCTCTTTTGTCAACTTAAAATTGAAATAGTGTTGTTTGAATTGGACTTGGATTCAAATATGACCCTGTCATTATCTGTGTGGTCTCCACAGGTTACTGTAATGAGAAGGAGGAAAGCAGCCCTTGGCACTTGGGAGCTGCACGGGGGCTGCCAGCTAGGCCTCGGTGATGCTGCAAGATAGCCCGGTGCTTAAAGCTAGTTCTGGGTACTCCGTTGAAAACAGTTTCACTGACCGTCAGCATCAGAAAAGGCATTCTGTGCCACGATGGGTCAAGACAAAAACAAGTCCATGCCATCATCATGTCTGAACACAAACAAAACTTGATCATTGTCCAAGTCACAACATTTCCAGCATCCCTCCCTAGAGTAACATTAGGGTTTCTGCTTTATCAAGTCCAGCTTTTTATCTTCCTTCTAGGGAGCCTTCCCATGGAGATTTCTTGGGAAACCCAGTCATAGCATTGTCTTGGCTTTCATCCAAGCAACAGTGAACCTCTGCTTATTTATATTCTCACCCAAAATCACCTAGCCAAGTTCCAAATCCTAAGTAAGTCAGTTCTAATGCTCCCGTACTGAGTCACCCCACTGTTTCCCTTGGTGTGTGTTCCCAATAAACCCATGTTGTGCAACTGGTGTGGGGGTGGAAGGTATTGACAATAACTACTTTGAGCCTTACTTTTAAAAAATTATTTGAAGTAGCATTTTAAAAAATATATTTTATTGGTTTTTTTAAGAGAGAGAAAGGGAGAGAGATAGAGAGTTAGAAACATTGATGAGAGAGAAACATCCATCAGCTGCCTCCTGCACACTCCCTACTGGGTATGTGCCCACAACCAAGGTACATGCCCTTGACCGGAATCGAACCTGGGACCCTTGAGTCCGCAGGCCCGATGCTCTATCCACTGAGCTAAACCAGTTAGGGTGAGTCTTATTTTTTTTCTCACATGGAAACTAGGAGTAACACCATCCGTTTTGCAGAGTTGTTATGAAGATTAGATGGGAAAACAGAAAGCACATAGCAGAGTCCTTGCGCTTTGTAGATACTCCACAAAAACTTGTTTCTTGTCCTCTTGTAATGTGGACTGTTGGGATCTCTTGAACAGGGCTCCTTTCTTACCCCTGAGAGCCCTGTTCTCCTTCAAGATACCTTCTATTCCATGAAACCTTTACATGATTTTTTACACACTTATGCCTTGTCCAATTAAAATGTTCTTTAAGAATGAGGGCTATGTTTAAATAAGAGCCATTGAAACTAGTCAGTTACTTTAACGGGGCTAATTTCTTCACACTTGTTATAGTATCTTATACTCAGAAAATGCTTAAAAATGATCAAAGTAAAACGGAAGGGAGAGAATATATCATTCTTTTACCGCTATATATCGTGATATTGTGAAATTTGCCTAAACCAGATACTTGGTTCAAAACTGTTTGCATCTTCTTTCCTAGATAACACCATGGTGGGCGAGGAGATGTCTCTAAGAAAACGGCTGTCAAAGTCCAGTGACGGTCCTGAAGAAAAGGAAGACCAGGGAAACCCTGCAAAGCAGGCCCCAGAAACACCTAGTAATGGTGAGGCTTTTCATTTGTTTTTGAGGTGAATTAATGAAAGAGAGCAGATTTGTGTTCTAGAGCACTGAGCCATCTCTTTAGCTCTCTTTATTATACATGGATTTGCTGGCAGGCACTGCAAAGATGTAGAAGGGAAAACTCTACTGAGAATGTAAAGAAACACCAATTTAATTGTTGGTCACAGTCACCTTAGATACTACCGGTGACATGGCACATCTCATAGAGGTGAGCTTTACTGATATAAATGGAGTTTGCAATGTATACTCTAATGTAGGATTTATATTACATAGTGTTTTATGTAATGAATACATTAGAAAACAAGCTCTTAATTTCCAGTGACTATTTTTTGGGTATCTACCGTGTTTTAGACACCATTCATCCATTTATTCATTTCTTCAACCACCTAACCTACCAATAATGATTGGTGCCCTGCTAGGTGCTTGAGGCTTACAGTAGTGATCAGTCCTCATGGAGCTCTGAGTTAAATGAATAAGTAACCCTCCATCTGCAATGAACATAATTGGATTATTATGAATAAGTACTAGTGATTACTCTCTGAACAGATGTAATGAGTCTGAAAGTAATAACCAGGATAACTAACCTAGTTCACTACCGGGCTATACATCTTAGGAGAGGTAGAGAGATTAGGAAGTTTTATTCTTATATTCAAGTCTGTTTAGCACATGAATACAAAGATAAGTATGACATAATACTTATTAAGGTCAAGGTTTATACTTAAGATGGATAGCTCCAACTGATGTCATTTATTGCATCAGGGTATTTGTTTTTGCAATGACATTTGTATAGGTTTCATTTCAACAAGGATTTGAAAGTCTGAGGCTTGTTTGGTTAACAAATAGAAGTGAAACTTTGAGACAAGTTCTCTGGCATCATGAACTTCTTAAATAAAGAAACATTCATTTGCTTTTCCCAGTTAAATTTAATTGTAAGTATGAGCAGCTGGATCCCCAAAATGTTTCAGCTTACATTTGCATAATGAACTTTATTGATTGCTGTATTTTTAATTAGCTACTTATGAAATATTTGTATTGCATATGGGCTAGCTTTAGTGTGATAGAAAATTGAGCCATTCCACTTTCATAATTTAGGGACTGGGTGATCATCCATTAGGGACTGGGTGATCATCCATTTTATTTGTCTTAGATACAGAAAAATTACTTTTTATTGAAACTTTATGTCCCAATATAAAAATGTGTTTAAATTACTCTAATTTTTACATATTTCAGTACTCTCAATTGTTAGTTAATATTTTCAGTACTCTCCATTGTTTACTTAATATTAAGTTTTAATTATTCCAGGTTTTAGTATATTAAAAATTAAATTTTTAGCTTACTAGTAAATTAAGTATGACCTCCTTCTTGGTTTAATGTTAAGTAATGCTTATCTGAAATTAAGATTGTGTTTCTCTAGTTATTTAAATATTTGGTCACTTTGGGGAATAAGCAGGTAGGTAAAAATGTGGTCTTTGAGTTTTAAGGACTTAAAAGACACCATGCTATGCCACTCCATGGGGCCTACCAACCAATACCCAGAACATCTGCACTATCCAGTAGCTTATTAGAAACATCCCAGCTCACATTTACTGAATAAAATTTCATTTTAATAACATTTCCAGACAATTCATATGCATAAAGTTAGAGACATGCATCTTACTGGCAGTTTTCAATTGGGGTATTTATTAAAGTCTGGGCCTTTCAGAGAAACAAAACCGATCGGATATATGTAGATACATAGACAGATTTATTGTGAGAGATTGCCTCAGATGGAAGCTGAGCAGTCCCACAATCTTCTGTCTACATCAGGGGATCCAGTGCTGTAGGTCTAGTCTAAACGTTAAGTTCGAAAAGTTCTGAGAATCAAAGAAACAGGAGCAGCATTGTCCCAGGGCAAGTCAAGCAAGAAGAGCCTACGTGTCCTTCCTTTGCCTTTTATTCTGTTCAAGCTCTCCAGCATTGGAGAGGGTATTCTTCATTAAGTCCACTGATTCAACTGCTTCTCTCTTCTGGAAACACCCAGACATAATGTTTTACCAGCTCTCTGGGCTTCCCTTAGCCCAGTCAAATTGACATACAAAGTTAACCATCCACTTGCTTCTCCACAGCTTTGCTCCCTTCTGCAGCATTTGGCTTCTTTCTATGCTGTTTTCAGTCTTTGCTCTGGCCTGGATATGCAAATTAAACACTATCTTGGTTGGGTTAATTTGCATACTTGCCCTGATTGGCTGGTGGGCATAGCAAAGTTGTGGTCAATTTGCATGTTTCTCTTTTATTAGGTAGGATAACAACCATTAACAGGTATATTGTATGCCAGGTACCATTTTAAGTGTTTTACAAGCGTTAACTCAGTTAATATACTATAATTCTATTCAAGTTCAGTGTTTTTTTTGTGTGTGTGTATATTTGAACATAAAGGACATATTTTATAACATACTAGAGGCCTGGTGCATGAAATTTATGCATGGGGGTGGGAGTATGTGTCCCTCAGCCCAGCCTGCACCCTCTCCAATCTGGGATCCTTCTCAAAATCCAGGACTGCTGGCTTCCAACCGTTCACCTGACTGCCTGTCTGATTGCCACTAAACACTTCTGCCTGCTAGTCTGATTACCCCTAACCACTCCCCTGCCAACCTGATTGACACCTAACTGTTCCCCTGCTGGCCCGATTGCCCCTAACTGCCCTCCCCTGCCAGCCTGGTCACCTCTAACTGCTCTTCCCTGCTGGCCTGGGCGCCCTCCCCCCCCCAACTGTCCTCCCCTACAGGTCTAGTCCCCTTCAACTGCCCTCCCCTGCTGGCCTGATCACCCACAACTGCCCTTTCCTGCCGGCCATCTTGTGGTGGCCATCTTGTGTCCATATGGGGCAGCCATCTTTAGGGGTGGCTATCTTATGTGTTGAAGTGATGGTCAATTTGCATATTATTCTTTTATTAGATAGGATTTTTTATGTCTATCAGCATTTTGTAATATATTTTGAAAATCCATTGGCACAAAAATGAAAAAAAAAATCAGTTATTTTGTAATCTTGCCCCTTTATCCATTATATGCATCTAATCATAAAACTGACCAGTCAACATTGAGCCTTTATCTACTGAATAGGTTGAGGGTACATTCCCTCCCACCCCCTTAGGATAAAGGCAAAAGCATGTTTGTTTTAGCAAAAGTAGGTATGCTAAAGTCCAATTGACTGTGATTTTTTCCTTGGATACATTCCAAGAAAATTGTTTTTAGGTCAAAGGGAATGTATATTATATGATTATTTTGGTAGAGATTGCCAAATATGTCCTCTGGAAATATTGCACTCACAGTGGCAATATGGGAGTACCTGTTACTTCAAACTTTTTTCAGTCAGGGATGATGTAATCTTTTGAGTAAATTATGTGGTATTCTGAGAGATGAAAAATTTTACTAACTGGAAAAATGCTACTGCCTACATAGTGGATGACTTATAGCCTGTCAGTGCTTAGATTTCCTCTTGCAGAACAAAGCAGGGCAAATGTGAAGGCACCGTTTACAATATATAACACTTGATTCACTCAGGTGTTATTTTATCTCCTCATTGATGGTGCTGCAGCTCTCTGTCCCAGATCCTTAGGTAGCTTTACAGTTCTCTGCTATATACTACATAATAAATCAACTAAGAATTAAAGTCTACATGAGATAAATTTTTTTACATGAAATCTCTTAATATTTCTACCAGACATTCTCTCTTTGAATTTAAAAATGGGATCATATGATGTTATAAAAGTTTAATGATAATAAGGCTAATTCTCTTATTGCATATACAGGGTTGGCAAAAGTAGATGTACAGTTATTTGTATGGAAAGAGACACACAGGTTATGATTATTGCAGTAGTTTTATTAACTCTATTTTGCATATTCATAACTGTAAACCTAGTTTTGTTCAGCTATGTGTGGGTAACGCACACAGTTGATACAGGTGTGTGATAAAAGAAAAATAAACCAAAGTTAACTTTGATTGAGTAATATAGTTTCTGGATTTATTTTGATTACAGTGTAGAAATCTGTTTTTAGTTTTGAAAAAGTTATAAACCAATTGTGATTGGTATTTCCATTTATTGCTTTTGTAGATTATTCATATTACCCATTTAAAATCTCATTCTATTGTCCTCATGCTAAATACTGGGGCTATTTTCTCTTCATAATCCTAATTCAAAAAATGCAAGATATTTTGGTTTCCTTAAAAATTTGCTGAAATATGCTAATACATTTTTAAGTTTTAAAGTAATATATACTATTTTAAAAAATGCAAGCATCATAGAAAGTCATTAAGTAATAATTCTCCTTAATTAGTCATCTTTTGTTTCTTTTCCTATATGTGGCATTGTGTTTGGAATATTTTCTGCAATTTGCTTATTCTAAACTTAGTAATTCTTAGACATCTTTTTATTCAGGATGTGATATAAGTGTAATTCTTTTAAAAGTATCTGTGTAGTATTTCTGTTGCACAAATGCTTGGTAATTTATTTAACTTATTTCTATGGATGGGCATTTAAATTATTTCCAAGGTTTCAGTATTATAATAGTGCTGTATAGAAGATCTTTGAAACAGTATTATTGCTTACTTGTGCTAGTGTACTAGTACTTGTAGGATACATTCTTAAAAGTGAAATTGCTGAGTCAAAGAGTGTTTGCATTTAAAATTAAGATGTTTCTTAATTTACTTTTTAAAATGTTATACCAGTTTATATTCTCATCTATATTGTTGCCCCATATTCTATATCTTGTTTCCAGTCACAATCCTGATATGCCAAGGTTTGGTCTTTTTTAAAACTTGCAATTTGATGGGAACAAAACACATAGCATAAGTTTGTTCTCATAAAAATAAGTGAGGTAGAGAACTTTTAAAATATACTTATTGACTATGTATTTCTTTCTTTAAAAGCTCTGATCATGTCCTTTGCCCATTTTTGTACCCTATCTGGTGACTATTATTTTTTCTTTCTTTTTTTTAAGAGCTCTTTCTTTATTAAGGAAATTAATCCTCTGATTATTATATATTTTGAATATTTTTTAACTTGCTCTATGATTTTTTTACTTTTCTTATGGTGTGCCTTGCCACATTTAGTTTTTATGTAATCATGTATTTTATTGCTTTTAGATTTCTTGTCATGTAAGAAAGACAAATTTTTTACTTAGTGCTTTTCGGATTCAAATATTTGGTCCATTTGAAATTTATTTTTAATAATAAGTGTTAGAGATCTCTAATATAGTTTTTCAAAATGACTAGCTAAATTGTTTCAATGTTATCTATTAACTCTTCTTTTCTGTATGAATATTTGTATACTGACTCTTGTTTCTAGTTCCGAATCCATTTATTTATGGTCATGCAGACATGTGATTAGTTGAGATTTTGAGATCAGTGGAGCAATAAAAGGTGATAGACTATAATTATTTTTTCTCCCTTTTTTTTTTTTTTTTTTAAAGATAATATCTTTCAAGGAATAGTTCTAAATCCAATAGTTCTTTATCTGGACATAAAAGTACTTTCCACATGACTCTTGGATTACTCATATTTTTGGAAGGCTAGGCAAGGCCGGGATGACCTTCTTCTAAGGAAGCAATTTTCAACATTTTTCATAGCACAGCACAAATTAAGTAATTACTATTACTTAATTAGATAAGATTCTGCAGCACACTAAAAATATATTTTTTGCTAATCTGACAAAAAAAATGGATGTAATTTTTATTCATTCATACTAGATGATTACTGTTGTGCTGGCTGTTGTCATTTTTTTTTTTTTTAATTTAAAAATTTAAGGGAAAAGAGGTCAGTACCTCTGATTAAATAGACAGGAATTGAATGTTTTAAAAATTCAATACCTGCAGCACACTTTAAAAATCGCTGTTCTAAAGTATACTTATTGAGAGTTTTTAAGAAAATGATTAGGATTTTAAAATGAGTTTGAACTTCTAGCCAGTAAAAATCTGTTAGTGCCTATGCACTAGCTAATTCTGTACTTGTACAAGGAGAAAAAAAAGAATATATTTGCTAAAATAACTGAGACAAAGAAGTGGATATTAGTCACTGCTTAGTACTCTTGAGTCATCTTTCGGAATTTAGTCACTATAGGCCTTGATTGTTTTTATTTTTAACTTTTTTATGATGCACAATGCATGACTAGGGCACAGAAGACCCCTAGTTTTACTTCTTTGTTCAGTTATTTACTGGCCATGTGACTTGTGGTCAAGTTGTTTAATTTTTTTGATTCTTAGTTTCTTCATATTTAAAAATAGATATGAAACCAATTTTTCTTGCTTATCTACTGGGTTGTTACAAAGAATAAATGAGATGGTGCATGATAAATAGTTCATAAATATTGGCATTTGTAACAGGTTTAATGAGGATGAAGATTTAGAAATTTGGGCTCCATAGTAACCCCTGAAAGAGAAGAGTTGCAGAAATAGGTTGGGAATGAATAGCTAGTGAGAAAGTGAAGATGGGAAGTGTAAACCACTTTGCTAGTGTTATCAGAGAATTGCAGGGTTGGAATTTCTTTGTTGCTAGTGAGAGTAGGGTTCTTGGGATGCTGCTGGAATAAGAATTTCCAGAGGTCCCCTCGGAAGGATGAGATGTGGTAGAAAGCTTTATTTGTATGGATTTATATTCCTCGGTTTCTAAAGTCCCAGTTTCTTTGAACCAGTCCTGGAAAAAATGCGGGGCAGCTGGGGATCCAGCAGAGCTGAAAGCAAAGCCATTCTATTATTTCTTCAAGAATTATTAAAAAATGTTTAACGAGAGCTTATTTAATATATGCATATGTACATTATTAATTTCAGAGAGGAAGGGAGAGGGAGAGAGAGAGAAGCATCAATATTGAGATAGAGAATCATTGATCAGCTGCCTTCGTGCCCTGACTGGAAATCAATCTGTGACGTACTGGTTCATAGGTTGATGCTCAATCACTGAGCCATGCTAACTGGGTAATACTTGTGTGTTTTTTATTATGGCCATCCTAGTGCATAGGAAATGAAATTTCATTGTGGTTTTGATTTGCATTTCCCTGATGACCAGTGATGTTGAACATTTTTTCAAGTGGTATTGGCCGTTTCTATATCTTTCTTGGAAAAATGTCTGATCAGATACATTGCCTATGTTTAAATTGGATTATTTGTCTTTATATTTGACTTGTAAGTATTCTTTAATATTGTGGCTGCAAGATCCTGATTATATTTGCAACCCCTTCCCCCACCCACCCATTCTGCAGCTTGTCTTTTTATTTTCTTCATAGTGCCCTGAATTTTGCAGGAAAAAAAAAAAAATTTTGCTTTTTTAAATATTAAAGTCCAATTTATCTATTATTTTAAATGTTGTTTGGGTATTTTATTAGTCACAGTTGCAGAATCCACTCAGAGAATCTAATTTCCCATGCAGTCAGAATTGTATATTATTGCATTATATGAATAATATATAGTTGTAATTACTGTGTATACATATAGTTTTGTTTTTTCTACTTAGTATTTTTATGTAGAAAATTTTTATGTATAGATTTCCTTCTGTTTTTATTGCTCGTGCTTCATTTTCAAGAGCTGTCATGTTTTGTGGCAGTACTGTAGTTTACATAGTCATCCTTTCTGTTTGTTTGTTTTTCAACCTAATGATTTAAATAGTGCTGGTGGGGGAAAAAATTGTGCTGGTATTCATCAATTTAAAAGTTACTTTTTTTTTTTTCTTTAGGCCAGGTTGATGTAAAAGAGATAATTGCAAAGAAGAAACAGTTGACAGCAGAGGCAGAGGTAAGTAACTTCCTCTTCCAGAAACAAAAATGTAGAGTGTGCTCTGGCTGCTTTTGCTCAGTGGATAGAGCATCAGCCTGTGGGCTGAAGGGTCCTAGGTTCAATTCGCATCAAGGGCATTTGCCCAGGTTACGGGCTTGATCCCCAGTAGAGGACCTGTAGGAGCAGCCAATCAATGATTCTCTCTCATCATTGATGTTTCTATCTCACTTTCACTCTTCCTTCCTCTCTGAAAAAAAAAAAATATGGAGTGTCATTTTTATTTGGTTTTGTTTTGTTTTTTTTACAATAAGTAACATAAAAGGCTGTTCTGTGGAGTGTCATTTTTAATGATAAAGTCTTTAAAGAATTATTAACCTTCTCATCAGTTGATATTGTCCTTCTGTGGACAACCAGGAGGTCTGCTGCCTTGTCATCCTACGCAAGAACCAGTTTGCTCTTTTCCCTTCTGTCCCATCCGTCACTGTCATTTTTCGGACTTTGACCTGCAAAACTTAGTTTTAGTGAAGCATATTACAGTTGAATTTCTATATGAATGTCTGTGTAGGTACTTTGTGAAAGTAGCAAGGTTCATAGAAATCATAGGCTTCCAGTAAATGATCAATCTGAATCCAGAAGCAGATTCCCTGATAGTGATTAGGGAAAAGATCAACTAAAAAGCAACAACATGGAGCCATTTCACGCTGGGCAATCAGAATTGAGCAGTGCCCTCAGGGAATTCTGGAGAACAAAGAACAATTTTAAAAAATACTGTGTGTGCCTAAATGTAATTTGACTTCAAGGCAGCCTCTCTTTTTTCTGAGATTACTTTAAGAATTTACTGGGAGAGAAACCAAGATGGCGGCATAGGGCAGACACCTGAATGCAGCCTACCACAACAAATTTGAATTTAGAACTGAAAAACAGGGGAGGCGTTGCCCTGAAGCGCCAGACGGCTGGCTGAGAGGAGGCTCTGCCATCTGGGAAGGAGAGAGAAGGCACGCTGAACTTAAGGAATTGTGAAGGTACAGAGAACTGTGTGTGCGAAAAGGCGCTGGCTTAATCCCAGTGCGGAGAGGAAGGGCCGGACCAAGATTGCTGCTGGCTTACTCCCTGCATGCAGAGAGGGCAGGCCGGGCTGAGCTCGCTACTGGCTTACTCCTGGCGCGGAGAGGGCGAACAGCTAACGCGGCTGGCTTTCTTGTCCGAGAGGAAAACAGAATCAGCCTATTGCTCTGATAAACGGCCCCAGACAGGGAGAGGCCAGACTGTCAGGCAGTGGGCAGAGATCTCTTGGAGGTGTGTGAAGCCAGAGGCCATTACTGCGGGACTTGGGGAGGAGCCGAAGGGAAAACAAAGTTTGTCTGCACCAACCCGAGACTGCCCTACCTGTGGCTGAGCACAGAAGCTCTCCCAGAGGCTGGCTTTCTCTAAGGAGGGACTTGCAGGAATCCAAAGCTTGTCTGCGCCTTTACCAAAGAGGTGCGTGCGCGCCTGCAACCAATCTTCCAAAACTCTCCACGAACAGGACTTTTCTAAGGCGAGACTGACAGGGAACCAAAGATTGTCTGCGCCACCCCGAGACCCCGCCCTATTCAAGCAGAGTACGGAAATCCTCCTAGCTGAGACACTGCGGATCCTCACAGCCAATTGGCTTGGAGATCAACGTTTCCCAGTGATACCAACAATAAGCAAGGCTTAACAACAAGACTGCACACACAGCCCACAAAGGGCTACACCAAGACTGTCCACCACAGGTAACTGGGAAGGCTGTGCTACTGGGCTCTACCAGAACACCTAGCACACAAAGCTATTCCATCAAATCAGGGAAACAACTAAAATGCAGACAAGAAGAAGGACACAAAGGAAGGAGATGGAGGAAAAGAAAAGATTGGACATTGAGTTCAAAACTACAGTTATAAGGTTATTCAACAATATCCTAAAAAAGGCCGATAAAATAAATGAGACCTATGAGGATATGAAAAGGGAGCAACTAGAAATAATAAGGGATCAACAAGAAATGAAGAAAACATTGTCTGAAATAAAAAATATTATACAAAGTCCTAAAAACAGACTGGAAGATCGCAAGAATCAAGACAAAGATTTAGAACACAAAGAGCCAGAGGACACTCCTCTGCAGAAGGGAGAAGATAAGAGAATCCAGAAAGTTGAAGATAGTGTAAGAAACCTCTGGGACAATTTCAAGCGAACCAACATCAGAATTATGGGGATTCCAGAAGAGAGAGAGCAAGATACCGAAAGAGTACTAGAAGAAATAGTGACAGAAAACTTCCCCCACCTGGGGAAAGAAATAGACTTACAAGTCCAGGAAGCCCGCAGAACCCCAAACAAAAGGAATCCAAGGAGGACCACACCAAGACATAATTAAAATTCCAAGAGCAAAAGACAAAGAGAATATTAAAAGCAGCAAGAGAAAAGCAGGTAGTGACCTATAAAGGAGCACCCATAAGATTGTCAGCTGATTTCTCAACAGAAACCATGCAGGCCAGTCGGGAATGGCAAGAAATATTCAAGGTGATGAATAACAAGAACCTACAGCCAAAAATAATCTACCCAGCAAAGCTATCACTCAGAATCAAAGGACAGATAAAGAGCTTCACAAATAAAAAAAAGCTAAAAGAGTTCATCACCACCAAACCAGAATTATATGAATTGCTGAAGGAGGTTATTTAGGAAGAGGAAGAAGATAAAGATAAAAATTATGATCAACAAATACGTAGCTATCAACAAGTGAATCTAAAAACCAAGGGAATTTAAAAATCTGATGAACAATATTAACGGGTGAATATAATAGAATCAGAGGTATGGAAGGGGAGTGGACTGATGATTCTCAGGGAAAAGGGGAGTAGGGGTGCGGGAAGAGACTGAACAAAAACTGTGCACCTATGGATGAGGACAATGGGGGATGGGGAAAGGACAGAGGGTGGGGTGGGAACCTGGTGAAGGGGAGCAATTGAGTGGGGGAAGAGGATCACATTTGTAATAATCTGAACAATAAAGATTTATTAAAAAAAAAAAAAAGAATTTACTGGCCAACATGAATATCTAAATATCCAATGCTATAGATGAAATAGCCCTGTTCTTATTTATTAATTTAGTTACATGTGCATGCATGTACATATGCACTGATTTAGAATAACAAATTTAGAAATTTTTATTTTTTAGCATCATGTTTATATGGGGTTCTTGGACCCAGTTCTAACATAGGGGCGTAGGTTCCCTCCATACTAACAAGCACTTCTTGAATGCCAGCAAGGGTGTCTCAAGAATTCAACTAAATTCTGATACTGTCTTCCTGGAAATATATATCAAATTCTGCAGTCAAAGGACTCAGGCCCACCAGACTGCCCTCCCTTTCAGGTGCTGGAAGCTTGAGCTCAGGTTACTTGTGCTTCTGACATCTGGCTGTGGATTGGAAGTTCCAAACCTCTCCTGCAACTCAGAATGCCAGTTGCAAGTCCAGGTTGTCCCCTGTACTTCAGAGGCTATGAATCAGAGGTTCCCTGGGATGATAAATTTGCTAGAATGACATTACGGAGGGAACTCAGGAAAACCAGTTTAATACTAAATTACCAATTCATTACAAAAGATAAGGATCAACAGCCAGATGAAGAGATAAGGGGCGAGGTCCTGAACAAAGGATTATCTGTCCTTAGGGTGCTCGGGGCCTGGCCTGTGGAAGCATCCTGGTTCTGTAGCACGTAGGGCTCACAAGCTGGCTTCCTGAGTTTTTATGGAGGTAGTGATGGGACTGAAAGTTCCTAACCTCTCATCACAGGGCTGGTTCTCCTGGTAACCCAGTTGTCACTCATCTTTATTGGACAATTTCCCCCTAATCTCTAAAGTGAGAATATTGGACTAGCTGTCTCTAAGGTCCCCTTTAGCAATAACATTCTGTGTCATAATTGTGTAGCTAACTTAAATTTCAGCTCCTACTTCACTATTTCCTATTTACAACAGGAAAATAGTGAAGGGAAAGGGTAGTCTGTAGATCTTGTTGGGCAGCTCTTTCAACTCCACAGAACTAGACTTGTTAGATAAAATACGGTCTGCCTAATTAAATTTGAATTTCAGATAGACAACAAATAGTTTTCTAGTCATCATGCAATGTTCGAGACAGTCTGGAAAGGTTACTTGCTGTTTATCAAATTGAACTGGGTGTTCCTATATTTGTAGTTGCTAAAACTCACAACCTACAAAGAATCCTAAAAGTTTATATATGGACATAGAGGAGCTCATAGTAAGGAAAGCAGTGAAGAAGGTTGTCAAGTACTGAGCTTTTTAGTCTGAAGCGAAGAGGAATGAAAGAGGTTATGACATTAATGGGTTGAAACTAGTGGGTTCAACTGATTGAATCTCTGAAGACCACTTCTAGGTCTAAATACTGGTATAAAAAAGTTTTAAGTACTTATTAAAAAAAAAATATGGTGCTATTGAGGTTATGCAACATTGTGTAACCCTGAGCCATGACCTCGTGAAATCCTTAGAATTGTGTTGTAACAAAACTTGAAAGACCTTGGAACAGTTCAAGGAAGTTTAAATGATTAAGTCCCAACCAACTTATGTTAATAGATGAATTAGCTCTGTTTTAACATTGTGTTATTTCAGTTTTTCCTTTTGGTTGCAAAGAACAGTATATTACTTTGGCTTCAATTTAAGCATATTTGATATTAATGTATCTTGTAGAATCCTGGAAGAAGTTGGACATCCAGGCTTTGGAAAGGGAAATAATTTTAAGGCTATTAATTGAGGTATTCCTGAATTTCTCAGTTAGTGAGATTTCCAGTCACTCTCTCCAAGCTCAGAGTTTCAGATTTATGAGAGAGAGAATTGGATTTTGGCGAGAAGGGCAGGACCCATATAATATAGTAAGCCCTGGCCTGGATCCTGGGTGACTGTTCTCACCTTGAGCACAGGTTCCAGAGAAAAGCGAATATGTTGAGGAGGGTAAAGGAAGTGTCTTTACTCTCAGTATTTGTAGAACTTGTATTAACGTACACAATTTTATAGAGGAAATGTTAGTATAATATGAAAATTGAACAGATGAAAAATTACTTCCTCTTCCTACTTAAAAATACATATTTGTTGTAACATATTTCATTTGCTTCTTAAATAGCATTTCAAGTACTGTTGTTTTTCACATTGTTACCTCATGCTAGTGCCCAAACACTAAAAGAGCAAACTGTAATGAGTAAGACGCAGATGCCACGTCTGCAGATGAGGACTTCTCTTCATGGTTTGTCACTTGTTGAGGAACCTCTTCTAAAAATGTTTTGGATAGTGCCAGTCTATTTCTTTTATGAAATAATTGATTTTAGAGAGAGTGGGGAGGGGGGGGGGGGGAACATCAATGGGACCGAGAAATATCAATTGGTTGCCTCCTGTACATACCCCAACCAAGGATCAAACCCACAATCTAAGTATGTGCCCTGACCAGGAATTGAACCCACAACCTTTTTGGTGTACAGGATAATGCTCAAACGAACTGAGCCACCCACCCAGGGCCAGAGTATACATTTTTACTGTGTTTTTTTTTTTTTTTTTTCTCAACTTACTTAAAAAAATTTTTTTTCTTAAGCTTCTGTGTCTTTGAAAGGGTTATTTTTATTCATAAATGCCCCTGCTTTTTTCTCTTTTAAAGATCATTTCAAAATAACCTCTGTTTGGAACAACCCTTTTAGGAGAATTGTTTTTCTAAAATGCAAGTCTGAACATGTACATAACCATATGTTTAAAACATCGGTTTCCAGTTGCTCTTAGGATACATTGAAAATTTTTAAATGGCTTATGTGATGTAGTCTTTAGACCCTGTTTGTCTTTCATCTCTGGTCACTCGTGCGTGTGTGCCTTCACTGTGTGTTCCAACCAGAAGGCCTTTGCCTCAAAGTGGTGGTTCCCCCCATTCTGAGAATCCTAAGTTGTGCACTTCAGCTGCTTATTTTTAAAAAATGAGGTTTCTTTGAGCTCTAAAATACAGTGATTCTATTTAATAGATTACCTATGCACCTGCTTTTCTAGTTTCTAGTTAACTGCCTGTCTTTCATTGTCCTTTTGTCCATTTGTTGTGATGATGAGACAGTCCATGGGTTGGGTGGTATTAATATTAATAGAAGTGAGATTGGGGAGATAAAGTAGAAGCCTATTACTTCAGCCTCCTTTCCAAGTTACTGATATTGGACATTACTTAGATTTATTGTGATCACATTCTGAAGTTCTCATCGAAGCCAGTTCTATGCTACTGGAAGGCTCAGAAAAAGGCAGATGGGAGGGTTTCTTGTGCTGTGTTTTTCTGTGTTTCCTCTTTATTTTCACCAGTGCTATATTTGATAGATGAAAGGAGGAGGCTAAAGAAATTTAATGGTGTCACGGAAGCGTTCTTCCTTGTCTCCCTCTAGCAGCAGCTTCTGTCAACTGTAGTTCCTCAAAGAAGAAAGTCATTAAAATATGGTGGATTTAAATAGCTACCTTTTAATTGTAATAGCACGAAATGGCAGAATTGGCTTAACTGCAGTTTTTATTGTGCATTGTTTTGCTTCTGTCACCAGAGACTAGCTCTGACAAAGTGGGAAGGGGTTGGAGCTACACGTACATATAGAGTGATAACTATGTCAAGTACTGCTCTGTGCGCTTCTTCATGTTTGCATCTTGCTCACCACCATAGTTACTAAATAATAGAAGTAGTCTTTGTTATCCAGATCTGTTTGTCCTTGAGTTCAGATAGTGAGTTGGGATAACCAGGGAAACCCTTATTTATGGGATGACTGTAGAAGAAGAGAAGGGGAAAGTTCTAGAGTACGAGGGGAAAGGAGGGGAATAGGAAGAAAGAGGAAAGAAAAGTATACAATTGACAAGAAGGATGAGGATGAGGTTTTCTTACTATATGACTTGAAGTTTCACGTAGTTTGGAATGTATGCTAAAGGCTCATTTGTGGGCAACTAGTAAATAAGGCACAAGACCTTATGCCATAGGAGTTGACTACTCTATCCAACTTGAGTTGGATGGAATAGGACCTGATTTTAGCAGTTTGTACTGACACTTATAGAACATTCATTATGGTGTTTTTTTCATGCTGTGGTCTACTTAACCCAATACTTAAGCTGGGGAAAGACACTAGTTCCAAAGTATGAGGAAGCCTGCTGAAAGAAATAGCTTGCCTTTCTCAAGATTCCAGGCTTCTTTTTTACTGTTGAATAAACTATCAGTGGGCTGATGGCTATGAATAAAGAATAAAGTTGAGTAAAATATCAATAGACAGATTGATGTGAGTCAGGGGTTAAGTGTTAAGACTTTACACAGTTTAGACCCTCCTTCTACCATCCCCCCCAATCTTTCCTAATCTCACTTCTTATCATTTCTTTGCTTTAACTATGGAGTCCTGCTTCTTGCTATTTATGGAACATACCAAGGGTGTTCCTGCTTCAGGGCTTTTTACATTAAAAAATAAAATAGCCCTAGCAGGTTTGGCTCAGTGGATAGAGCGTCGGCCTTCTGACTGAAGAGACCCAGGTTTGATTCCAGTCAAGGGCATGTGTGGGGAGGTAGATGGGCAATGGGGGGATAAGGACACATATGTAATACCTTAATCAGTAAAGAAAAAAAAATAGACTATCATTTTTATAATTTCTGTTATTTTGTTTTTATTATTTATAGTTCATTTAGTAGATTACTTTGATATCTTGATTTAAGCTTAAAATAGTCTAAGTTTTTTTAAAGGCATAAATTATGTTTTTTTAGTAGCCATTTCTGAAACTATAGGTCAGCTATAGAAATCATTTTCCTGCTTTTATTCCTGTGAAGCCACTTAAAATGGATTTCTTTGATCCAGCTCTGTTTAAGAGAACACTTTAGAAAAATGTTCGTAACCCATAATCATGTATTCTAATGTTTTCCTTTATTTGTTTTAAAATTCTAGGAATTGAAGCCATATTTTATGAAGGAAGTTGGCACTCACTTTGATGATTTTGTGACCAATCTCATTGAAAAATCAGTATCATTAGACAGTGGCGGGAGTACTCTCACATCCTTTTCTGTTCTCGGAGGAGTGAACAACCATAGAGCTAAGTAAGTATGAGTATTGGATTATTCTGATGCAGACATCTGCTCTAGTGTAGCTCAGCGGTAAAAATGCCTGGATGCACAACCTGGCACCACTTTTCCTTAGCTGTGTGCTGCTCTAGACATATTGTTTAACCACTGGAAGGATGGGTTCTTTCATCTTAATAAGTGGCTTATAACGAATGTGCATACTTCATTTAAGACTATACTGACACCAACCTTGAGGGCTTTTCATTATATCAAACAATGACCCTATGGGTAGGTAGTATAATTATCTGCCTAATATAGATTAGGAAATGGAAGCACAGAGCCAGCAGTTAATTGTTGTCCAGGATTCTGCAGCGGGGATTTGAACCCAGAGTCCATGCTCTTCGCCACATCATTATTCTGCCTCTGCGATACTTGTTTTAAAGTACGGTGCATTAGTATTTATTTTTTTAATCGGTCGGTCATCCAGAGCCATGGTCTGTAAACTGCAGCTCGCGAGCCACATGCGGCTCTTTGGCCCCTTGAGTGTGGCTCTTCCACAAAATACCACGGCCTGGGCAAGTCTATTTTGAAGGAATGGTGTTGAAAGTTTAAGTTTTAAAAATTTGACTCTCAAAAGAAATTTCAGTCGTTTTACTGTTGATATTTGGCTCTGTTGACTAATGAGTTTGCCGACCACTGATCCAGAGCATGGAGGGAAGGCTCTCACAGACCAGTGTGCACTAATTAGCCATTCTGTGCTTTCCTTGGTTTTGTGCCTCTGTGGTCTCTGGCAGTCCCTCCTTCTCTGAAGACAGGTTGAACCAGGAATAGTCAACGGAAGTGCTGACAGTATTGCAGAAAGCCCTAAAGAAGATGATCATGCTACATGTTAACGGTTTAATAACTGGAGGCAGCCTCTAACATCGGGAGGCTGTTAGGGATTGTCGGAAGTCCTTTGACGTTATAGAGGACATCACAGATATCAGTGCATCTTGCAGAACAGACCAGTGACAATAGTGGACTGGAGTAAGGATGGCTGGGGCCTGAATGTGACTTACGGATGTTTAGGAGAAGAAAGATGGTGGTCTGTGTGGCGTCAGGAACTAGAGCTGCCTTAGTGATGTGCGCCTAACCCCTCTTACTCCCTGCCCAGATAGGCCTGTATCTGCCTCATAGCAGGGCTCAGGAGTAACTGAGACAGCACGCATAAAATCCTACTCACTGGACCTGCGTCCTACTGAGAGGCCGTTAATTAATTATACTTGCCGCAGTTGGTAATATTCTTCCTCTTATTCTTAGGCTTACATTTCTTATAATACTTGAAGTACTAGTACTTACATTTTGTTTTACTTTTTGCTCTTCCCAGAGATCTGAGAGCACCTCCAGAACACGGAAAGATTTTTGTTGTAAGGCGATCTCTCTTAGAGTAAGTATTTTAAATGCTTTTGTTAACTATAAATTTAAATTAAAAAAAAATACACACAACTATTCTGATTGTTGGAATCACTGCTTAATCTATGAATGTTTAAAGAGTTTGTTCTATAGTCATATACATCATTTGTTTTGATAATGCTCTTTGTACATTTGCTGTGCCCTGGCTCTGCATCTATTTTCAAAGGAGGAGTTAGAAATCAGAATGGTTATCTGTCTTTGATAAATTCCTTCCATTTGTGCTGCAGATAACTGGTTACTCAAAGAGCTAAGATAGGGTTTTCTATTTAGGTAAACCACTTCAAGAGAGTTTTAGTGTTGCTGCCTTTTTTATGTATAATTTTTAATCTCTTCTTTGGCTAGCCAGAGTAAACACATGATAGTTTTCTCAGATTTACTTATTTTAAAACCCTGATTGTGTGGACCTTATGAAAAAGACATCAGGCAAGGTAAATTAATTGTGGTGACATCATTTGTGAACTGAAAAGTAAAGGTGCACTTTGAGTATGTAATTAATATTTCTTTTGTAATGTTCTCTGAGATCATTCATTCATTCATTAGAATATTCCTGTAATTTAATATGCATTAGTGTAGGTCACCTGAAATAGTTGGGCTGGTGGATCTTAGTTATGGATGTGCTTTTCTTTTAAAAATGCATCATATTCTTATCAAAATTTATTTTCTATGGGCCAAATTGGTCTGTATTACTTAGTTTTGATTAGAAGGCCGACATTTTCTAAATATCTAATGTAGACTATCACTTCAGTATTATGTTGAAGAGATTTAGCTTTTTTTTTTTTAATATATTTTATTGATTTTGTACAGGGAGGAAGGGAGAGAGATAGAGAGTTAGAAACATCGATGCGAGTCATCGATCAGCTGCCTCTTGCACACCCCCTACTGGGGATATGCCCGCAACCAAGGCACATGCCCTTGACCGGAATCGAACTCGGGACCCTTCAGTCCCCAAGCCTACGCTCTATCCATTGAGCCAAACCGGTCTCGGCAAGAGATTTAGCTTTTAACATCTATATCTGGGGGAAATGCCGGCTTTCCATGTAAAAGAAATTAAAGCAAATATTTTCAACATTATAATTAAGATTTAAGTGATAGTATTCTATATATGAAAAATAAACAAAATTAAAATATATATTTTTAAATCAAGGAAACAAAACATGTATTTTATGGCTTAGGTGGGTTTTTATTAGAATTGAAGGTCCTTAACCCAGACATTTAATAGTATTTTAGATGTCTCAAAAAGTTAGGAGATTAGCTTACATCTTGCCACAAATAAAGCTAAAACACTTGTTTTAATCAAATATAAAAAGTCCTTATTTAGAAAAAGTCATCTAGAAAGTAATTGGTGTCTTTTAAAAGTAACCCAGTCTTAGTAAAATAAAAAGATAAAAAAAGCTAGAAAATAAAAGCATTTGTAAATGGTTAAGTTTATAGACTTATAGGGTAGATCAATATTATAGAAATGCTATCTTAATTTGTGTGTGTGTGTGTGTGTGTGTGTGTGTGTGTGTGAGAGAGAGAGAGAGAGAGAGAGAGAGAGAGAGAGAGAGAGAGAGAGAGAGAAATAGAGAAATAGAGAGAGAGAGAGGGAGGGAGGGAGGGAGGGAGAGGGAGGTGGGGGGAGGAATGTAAGACTTAAAAAAAAGTTTTTAGCCTTTGAGATAGCTCCTGTGTCCCCTGTGTTCAGTGAATGGCCTTTTGCCTACATTAGAAGACAGTCACCTCTGGCAGGTTTTTCAGGAATGCACACCATTTTTTTTTTTTTTTAACATGTTTGATATCCATGCTGTTTTCTAGGAAGCACTATTTATCTTATCAGAAAGAGCCTTGCCTTAAACTCTTCCAATAAGTTTTACTTTGGTCACGTCAATTCAGGCTTAATATTCTGTGATTACTGTTAAACTCATCACACCCATGTGTGCTTACTACTATTTGAGTTGTTGCTTAAAACTCTACTTCAGGCTTAATATTCTGTGATTACTGTTTGAGATATTTTGAAGGGTAGATTAAATATTTCTGGACTGCTTTAAAATCTTTAATATATGACATTTAAAAATCAAATATAAGTTATTCATTTTATTTGTTTAAACTACATTTACAGTGAGCTGTTTGAGGTGGACCACATCAGAACAATATATCACATGTTTATTGCCCTCCTCATTCTCTTTATCCTCAGCACACTTGTGGTAGATTACATTGACGAAGGAAGGTAAGACAAGAAAAAGGATGGTTGGCTAGTTGGCTCATAGGATGTTGGGAGTTTTCATTTTATGTAAAATTTGGTAGGGGGTGATTTGGTTAAATTTGCTTCAGAAAATTCCAAAATAGCTGATTTGAGGTTCAGATTTCTGTCTCTCAAAAAAGTAAATACAACTAAAAAGAAGATTAGAAATTTCATTACTTTTATTTTTCTAAATGGTCTATTTGAATAGACCATAATTGTTAGTTTCTATGTAATTTTCTTAAATGGGAGAATTTTGTATATATGATTTATCAAATTTTTTTTTATTATGGTATACATTTTAGCTAGGTACTAAAAATAAGTAGCTTATTGGAATTTCACATTTGAAAAATGTATTTTTAATATAAATATCAAATTGTAACTTTAAAAATGACAGTGTAGTAATCATACATTGAATTATATGCTTTATTAGAAAATTAAATTTTGAGATGATTTAATATATTAATAGATTTTTTATTTTATTTTTTTAATTCTTTGTTGTTTAAAGTATTAAATATAGTATTACATATATCTCTTTTTTCCCCCATTGACTTCTTCCCTGGCCACTCCCACCCCCCATAGATTGTTTTACTTATACCTATTTCCTTCTGAAAAATCATCTTTTGTACATAACAGTGATTGCTATTTGTATACTTTAAGTATGGACTTTGCCATAGAATATTTTAGAGTTTAAAATGTATTAATGTAAGAATCTAACTTTTGAGAAGTTTAGAGACTTACTATTTTAAGTTATATTAGGCATTTTATGTGCAAAGACTGTATTATCTTAGGACTTTTAGAAACTTTGTTATTGAAATACGTTGTGAATCAATTCAGTAGCACAACTTCAATGACTTCAGTGTGTTAACATTGCTGTGTTTCCTAAAGCTGAGAGTTTTAAAATCTGTGAATCAATGCATATTTTTAAAAACGTGCTTTTGTGTCTTTGCTCTGTGCTTTTTCTCCCCAGGCTGGTGCTTGAGTTCAATCTCATATATTATGCCTTTGGCCAGTTTCCTGTTGTTATATGCACATGGTGCGCCATGTTCTTGAGTACACTTTCAGTTCCCTATTTCCTCTTTCAACATTGGGCCAGAGGCTACAGCAAGAGTTCTCATCCAGTGATCCATTCTCTCTTCCATGGCTTTTTTCTCATGGTCTTCCAGATTGGAATTCTAGGTTTTGGACCAACGTATATTGTATTAGCATATACACTGCCACCAGCTTCCCGTTGCATTGTTATCTTTGAACAGGTAAGGTTTTGAGCGTTTCTCAAATGCTGTGCTTAGTTAAAATAATGATGGAATAATAGTAATCATCATCATCATCATCATAATATTATCATTATAACAATATAATACTGATATTCTGTTATTTTGGACAAATTTTTATAACTGACTCTTTATGCTATTGTCTAAAATTAAAGTATTAAACTAGATCATCTCATCTCATAAAATTTGTTCTAACTTCAGTGTTCTCTGATGCTTAATAATTGAAATAAATCATATTGAACTGTTCTGGATGAATTCAGATTTTGTTCTTGAATTCTGTATAGTAGTCATTTATACCATAAAATGTTTTTGTAATCAAAACCCCCCACTTTTGAAATGTCAGATTCATTATTTTGTCATATAACTGTTTCCATCTAAAAAACAGATTTATTTTGTCCATACACCCTTCCGATTTTCTTACATTGGGTGTCCATAATGCTCTGTTTGAGTAATGGAAAGGACCATGTCAGGAGCCTTTCTTTGATAGAGTTTTATAATATGGTACTTTAAGGCACAAAATAATATGTCCTTCTTTAGAGGTTGTTTTTAATTTGCTTTATTCCATAGAAGTGAATTTGAGTTGGTATATGCAAAATTAAAACATTCTTCATGTGACTATAATGTAGTGTTGTTCTGGGGTTGCTTATATGAGGCAAGACAGTGATAGAAAATACATCTTTTTTCCCCCTCTCCTTCTTTAGATTCGTATGGCAATGAAGGTCCATTCGTTTGTCAGAGAGAATGTGCCTCGGGTACTAACTTCAGCTAAGGAGAAATCAAGTATGTAATTTTATTGCATCAAAGTACTATTCATAGGGTATTTATAGGGTTTAGGGGGATGGCACATTACATTCTACAGACATTATGTTTGATTTTAATTATGTAGCCTCCACATTGATTTGGAAGACTATCTCACTATTTTCTGATAGTTTCTGTTTTGTCTTGGTACCCGCCATTTAAAACGGTTGATCATTAGATTCTTGTAACTTTATGTAATTTTTATAGAATGTTAAACTCATCACACCCATGTGTGCTTACTACTATTTGAGTTGTTGCTTCAGTCACAGGAATAACTCAGTCTAGAGGGATTGGTCTATTAATATTAGAATAAGAAGTCATCATTTTGGGAGATCAGGAAGAAACAACATAAGCTAAGGGGAAGTCATTTTATTCTTCCCTATCCTATGCTTCCTTACTTTCCCTTTGTAGTTTTGCTAGCCAAGTTTTCCTTTTCCAGAAACTGTTCCAGTACCCACAGTCAACCAGTACTTGTATTTCTTGTTTGCTCCAACCCTCATCTACCGGGACAACTACCCCAGGTAACGGCTCTGTGAAGTACCAATGTGCTAAGCACCTGAAGCGACAGGAGTGAGGTGCAGCAGATGGGAAGGGCCAGTTCACATAGGGCTACAGAGAATGCAGAATGAGTTTTCATTTTGTTCACTAGCCTGGAGAGCCCCAAATGGTGATTCCAGCAGTCTTATTTGATCACAGTAATTCTTGACAGAATGTACTTTATTTAGAAAATTTATTTTGTTGCTTCTTTTTTAGGACTCCCACTATAAGATGGAGTTATGTGGTTATGCAGTTTGCACAGGTAAGTTTTTTTTTCACTGCCTAAGGTTTGGTGATTGGTGGGAGATTGGGGATTTGAATTGATTGATTATAACAACTTAATCTATTTAAAGTGTTAGTAAATTTATGTTTATTGGGAGCTGTAGAACTCTTTCTGAAGTTTTGAAATTATTCTCAATACAGTGAATGGTGTTTGTTTTGCCAATATCAAAATTAATTTTCTTCAATAAAATAATTTGTTTTAATTAAAGTAATTCCATTTGGTTACTTCAGTCAGCACCTACACTAATTTCCCCCTCCCCTCCTGTTTTTATATTTTTGGATATATATGTGGGCCTGACACTTCTCATTACCTCTTCCTCCTAAACCCCTTATCAGAATCAAATCCCAGAAAATCCCATTTTATTTATTTATTTATTTTAATTAATTAATTTATTTATTTTACATATTTTAATGATTTTTTTTTTGCCCCCCTCCCTCCCTCCCCCCCCCATATCCCCTCCCTCCCCATAGTTTTATGTCCATTGGTTGTACTTATATGCATGTATACAAGTCCTTCGGTTGATCTATTATCTCCCCCAGATCCTCCTCCCCTCCCCGCTGTAATTTGACAATCTGCTTGTTGCTTTACTGTCTCTATATCTATCTTTTGGTTCATCAGTTTATAATGCTCTTTATTATCCACAAATGAGTGAGGTCATGTGGTGTTTCTCAGAAAATCCCATTTTAAATTCTTATTTCAATCAAATACCCATTTAAGAAACAAATTATTGTTTTTAGGACAAATTATTTTGGTATAGGTTCAAGTAGCAGGAAAATCAGGTCCCAAGAGTCTGATCTTTTACAAACGCCCTTTGGTAAAGGGTTGGGAAAAGATACGGAAGAAACTAGGCCTGAGTAATATCTGGAGGGTACAATTTGCAATCTTGCATATAAGTGTTAAGTGGAATATATATGTAAACATTAGAGGTCACATATGTATCTTCTTTTGGAGGAGAATCACCGTCTTTCCTTACCGAGCCATCATTCTTATGACTATCTTTGTTGTGTTCCAGGTGTTTGGCTGCTTGTTTTATATGTACTACGTCTTTGAAAGGCTCTGTGCCCCCCTGTTTCGCAATATCAAGCAGGAGCCCTTCAGTGCTCGTGTTCTGATCCTGTGTGTATTTAACTCCATCTTGCCAGGTAACATGGGTATTGGTTAATTTGGCCACTTATGAAGTTGCAAGGAAAATAGAAAGCTAATGCACCTTTGATTTACCTGCTTTTCACTTATAAATTCATCTACATATCTATTCCTATCTTGGCTTCTTTCCATCTGTCTCATTAATGAAGTATATTTCAGTCTCAGACCAATTTTTCCATTGGCCTTCTGGCTTTTACTCAAGTTTTGCTTTTTCTGACTAGATAATGCATATTTATGCTTTGTTTCCCTATAGTCTTGCTCCTAATCCAAGCAGAGCCTGAAATAGACTTTATTTTTAAAATCATTTGTTATTTCCTGATTCTAAATCCAGTGGATGCTTTAGCCCTTACTCTGATCTTTGTGAAGCACTGGCTGTTGTTGACCACATTTTGAAATCTCCCTACCACTCTTTCATTTTGTCCTGTCTTTCCACCCATACTTCAGACTTCTAACTTGCTCATATTTTTTTTTCCTGGAAATATATGAGTACCTACTATATTTCAGATGCTGACCGTATAGCAGTGAACAGACATACTCTTCACTCTCTGGAAGCTTGCAGTCTAATTAAATATACAGTTTCTTTGCTTCTTTTTTTTCCTCTACCCATTAAATGTTGGTAACATTTTCCATGATCACCTTGTCTCTTTCTTCTCTCTCTCCCAGACTTCTAATAACCCTCCCTGATTGCTTTTCACGGGTTACTCCAGTAAACTCTCATCTGTTCCTGCAGGATATGTGTACTGCGTGTCTTCCTCACTAGGCTACAAATTCCTTGAGATCAAGGATTGTGTCTTATAGCCACTCAGCTAGTCACAGTCTCTCCCATATTGTCTATTCCATAGCAGATGCTCTATAAATACTTTTGAATAAATGAGTGAAGGGGGTGAGCATGTATTTTACATTAAAGTAATAATATATAAGGAGAATAAACAAAGTGCTGATGAACTTTGTATCATGCTGGAGATGACATTTAACGTTGGGCATTGGAAATAGATGGGCATTTGCTTGGCAGAGAAGTGGTGGATAGGCGCTTTCAGGTAGTGGGATGGGTGCAAAGGCATAGACTTACTTTAGAATGGCCGAAGTCCAGGTAGGGATGATGTGTGCGACACTGGGAGTGGAATCGGAGATTAGTTAACCTTATCACTATTGACATTCAGGGCTAGATAATTATTTGATTTGGGGGGCTGTCTTATGTATTATAGGATATTTTTTTTACCATTCTGGTCTCTAACAAATAGATGCCAATAGCACATTCCCAATCCTTGAGTTGTGACAACCAAAAATGTCTTCAGAATTGTCAAATGTTCCTGGTGTGTGGTGGTGGTAGGGGACTTGTCCCCCAGTTTCAAACAACTGGTTTATGGGAATGCACGAGGGCCGGATTTTAAAGGGCCTTGGGTGTTGAGGAATTTCTATTAAAAACAGGCTCATTTGTCATCTGTAAAACCCATTTGGAAGAAAGTGACTGCTTTATAAAATGGAAATAATTAACTTTAAGAAGAGCACTATCACCTCTGGAATGAGTAAGCTGGAATAATCATTTTTATTTTGCAAAATAATTCTAGCTAAGCAGGTGATGACAAAAATAACTGCTTGGTATATGAGCTATTTGGAATTACTCAACATTATTAATTTTATTTTCAGGTGTCCTGGGGCTGTTACTTACTTTTTTTGCCTTTTTGCACTGTTGGCTCAATGCCTTTGCCGAGATGTTACGCTTTGGTGACAGAATGTTTTATAAGGTAATGTATACTGGGACTCATTTTTCTTTTCACAATTTATTATGTCCTCATTGCGAGGTATTTGAGCATTGTAGGTATGAAGTCTGAAATTCTGATATCAATGTAATTAGTAAAGCCTTATCTTCTACCTCTGATATCCTCCCCTTCTCATGACATATGGTTTCTGCTGGATCCCGTGTTGGTGATTACAGAAGGAGAGCATGTGTCTAGAGGGTGGTATGATACTTTGCTGACTGGTCATTCATGTGAAATTGGCTGTCTGGTGCTGTAGGAGTAATTTCAGTAAATTATTCCATTTAAAGTTGCTGAAGGGAGGAAATAAGTTTTTCCTTTTTTATTTATGAAAAGCATTAATTCTGCTTAAAATAGCATTCTATACTTGCAAAGTTAGAATTAAGTTCTAAACTCAGGATCTGAAGTTTAGTTTGTGGTTTTGGTAACACTCCAAGCCTACCACTTCTTTCTCAAATAAATAGTGAATGTAGGCTGTGAATTTTAGGTGTCTGATTTCCTTAGTCTGAATTTTTTAAAAAATATATATTTTATTGATTTTTTTACAGAGAGGAAGGGAGAGAGATAAAGAGCTAGAAACATCGATGAGAGAGAAACATCGAAACGTCGATGAGAGAGAAACATCAACCAGCTGCCTCTTGCACACCCCCTACCGGGGATGTGCCCGCAACCAATGTACATGCCTTTGACCGGAATTGAACCTGGGACCCTTCAGTCCGCAGACCGACGCTCTACCACTGAGCCAAACCGGTTTTGGCATTCCTTAGTCTGAATTAAAGTAGGAAGCAAGATATATGGAAAGGAGCACCAGGTTTTGGAGGTAGCCACGATCTCGCTCCTTATACTCTTCAGCTTTAGCATGCTATGTAACCCTGTGTGACCTTAGAATTCTCTGGTGTTTTAAGCAAGGCAATGGGGATTAACTGATTGCTATTTAGAGGTATAATAGAGTGAATGATCATTTATGTTCTGTGTCTTCCACCATAACTTGTTTTCTAATGAGACAAAATGAACCTAGGGAATGAATCATATAGAACTGGAATTAATGTCTTACTAAACATCAGTCACCAAAATGCCTTTTAAGATTTTTCTGACATCTGTGTATGGACTGACAGTTTATCATAACACACTGGGTATCATGTGTGTATGTTCTTTGGGATTATTCAGGGGTTTTTGCTTTGGCTCTGTGTGTATATACAGGTATATGTGTGTGGCATGTGTGTAGTTTTATAGCTTTGGTTTTTTTCCTCAGGATTGGTGGAATTCCACATCCTACTCCAACTATTACAGGACCTGGAATGTGGTGGTCCATGACTGGCTGTATTACTATGCTTACAGGGACTTTCTCTGGGTAAGCAGCAGCATTTAGTTGATGTTGTTCAAGAAATGGAGATCCTTTTCCAGACAGTACAGGTATTAATATTGTACAGCTGGAGGAAGTTATACTTAGTAGTCTTTAATTCTCTTAGGAGCCATTTATGTCTAAGAAATCTTCTGCCTTGAATAATACTGCGGACAGACCAGTATGGACAGTTACTGGGTGTAATACCATGTTTTCATTCTGGATTTTATTTTAAACAATTACAAAGTAAGAATGCAGGCAAACATTCAGATAACTTAAAATGATCCATCATTTATGGGTCATTTCTTATGAATCTCACTGATAACAGATAATCTCCCTCTAATTTTTTCTTCATTTACTTTTTTTTTTTTTTTTAATCTGTTCAAAGTGGAGAACCACTCTATGTTTGGACTTAACATTTCTCCAATTGATCCTATACTAGGTCTTTGAGATATTCTTCAAAGCAGAATGTATCTAGACTGATGAAATGAAATTTTGAATATCAGGGTTGATTAATGCTGGTACCTCCTCCAGATTATTGGCTCAGATAGCATTGTATTCGAGTGTTCTTTCCTTTATGTATGTAGTTTCACTTATGGACAAGGGAAGTCTCTTCTTTCTAAATCTTAGTTTTGTTACCTGTACAAATGGAGAGGATGCCTGCCCTGTCTACCATACTGTGCTACTCTAAAGGTTGAGACCTGTGATGTCTTCACTGATGTATAAAAACTATGTTTTGTCCTTCAGAGTGACTTACCACTATAAGTTATTAATGTTTTTAAAAATATGCCTCGATCTTTCTTTCAACATTATTGGTTTTGAAAATGCCTTATTTGAAAATAAGGATTTTTAAAGCATAGGTGTTTTCTCTAATTATAATATATTTGGGTTAATCCAAGGAGTAGATTGGAAAGTCCAATCTGTACTAATAAAAGGGTAATATACTAATCGGACTGGGTCGACTGGATATCTTCCAGTCGTCCTGCTTCCTTCCGGACAAAGCCACAGTGGCGGGGACAGAGGCAGAGGTGGCTAGGGGCTATCATGCCGCAGGTAAGGGTGGTTAGGGGGTGATCAGGTCAGCAGGGGAGGGCAGTTAGGGTCGATCAGGCTGGCAGGCAGAGGGGTTAGGGGCAAGCAGATAGAGTGGTTAGGGGCAATCAGGCAGGCAGGCAGATGAGGAATTAGGAACCAGCAGTCCTGGATTGCAATAGGGATGTCCTGGATTGGAGAGGGTGCAGGCCAGGCTGAGGGACCCTCCACACCCTCCTGCCCACATGCACGAATTTCGTGCACCAGGCCTCCAGTATAAATATAACTAAATTTATGCCTTTAACATGTGATAATTATAAGTCTTACGTAGTTTGTGCTTAGTTACCCTTTTAAAAACTGTTTTCTAATATTTTCCTTTTACCCTAGTTTTTCACTAAGAGATTCAAGTCTGCTGCCATGTTAGCCGTCTTTGCTGTGTCTGCTGTCGTCCACGAATATGCCATCGCTGTTTGCTTGAGCTTTTTCTACCCAGTGCTCTTTGTGCTCTTCATGTTCTTTGGAAGTAAGTATCCTGGCATGCCATGAGGACTGAGGGAGATGCCAAAAGAGAAATTTAGAAAATAAAGTATAAAATCAATGTAGAAAGCTAGATAATAAGCTGTAATACTATCTCAAGGCAGTGTTTGCTTATCAGAGGGTAAAGAACATTGTTTTGAGTAATTATACACACTCTGTTTCAAAATGTTTATACTTTGAAGTAGAGAAATGAGCCACGTAACAGTGATTTGGTAGGTCACAAAAACAACTTCCCCATTCTTCAACTCTGTCATTGTTCCCGGCTGAAAAAAAACTGACCCTTTTTTGGGTGGGGAGGAAAGGATAAGTTAGAATATGAATGAGTCAATGAAATACATGTTCACCTGTTCTGAATACTATCTGATTTCCAATTCATCACTATTAATAAACCTCAACACTGAAGCTTCATTTTTATTTGTAGGAGCAGCAGCCAGAATAAACCATGTATGCACAGTTGATGCTCATTGTGATACTTAGATGACTATAGTAGCTATATGAGGCTGCTTATAGATTGTCTGGATATATATCTTTTGTTCTCTTCCTAACTTTAGTGGCTTTCAACTTCATTGTCAATGATAGCCGGAAAAGGCCAATCTGGAACGTCATGATGTGGACTTCCCTTTTTGCGGGCCAGGGAGTCCTCCTGTGCTTTTATTCTCAAGAGTGGTATGCACGTCAGCACTGTCCTCTGAAAAATGTGAGTCCGCAGTCAGGCTGCAGTGGAAAAGTGACATGTTTGTCCCCGATTGTGAGGATTGGAGAGCAATTTTAAGGGGAAGGAGAGTAGTGGGAGATTATGATGAAGTAATGTTAAGCAGAGAGAAACATTATCTGATCTTCCTGCTACTGTTCTTAAAATTTTTCTTTTGCTTTTCTTCACTTTGAACTCTCCTACTTGGTGCTCCACCCCACCCTAATCCCCTCCCCCCTTTTTTTTAATTTCCTACTCTTTCACTGCTTTTTCTTTAGCTCCTAATTTTCTTCCTGTGTCCTAAAAATGTAGGACATGTGTATCCTATCCTCCACACACACCTAAATATATATGTATATTTTACCTCTTCCCTTCCAAAGTATCACGTCTTTGTAAAAATATTCAGGTACGCTCATATGCCTACGATCCCATTTCCCTTGATTTTCTTTTGTTGCTATTGTTGTTTGGTCTTTCGTGATCATGTAAGGGTCTCATCCTTAGAGCTTTAGCTTTCAGCTGCATGTGGATAACTCCCAAATAATTAGGGGGTGGGGGGCCTTCTTTATATATCCGGGTATTTCTCACAGGCACCCATAACTGAAGATGCCCACAATCAAATTAGTTCCTCTGCCAAAGCTTCTCCTGTCTACACTGTTTTTGTTATGCTGCCCAATGCTCCCTCCTTATTTCCTACTAACCCTCTGGGCACATTTGAACTAACTGTTCTGGACTACTAAAAGCAGGGGTGTGCTAAAATAAAATGCAAGACACATAAAGAAGTAGTACCTATTTGACATTTGGTCAGAAGTGCAATTGTGTAGACTTTAAAAGCTTTGTGGAAAGCCTCTAAACCAAGTAAATCTCTGCTATAGATAAAAATAATGAACATCTTTTGAATTATTGAACTCTTCATAGCTTAAAGGTCACTGAAATGCCGAGAGGCATTTTAGAGGTTTTCAGATATGACACTAACATCCCTATCTCTCCCCACACCTCATGCACGTAGTGCACACAAATAAGTTACATTTGTTTTCCTTTTTTTTTTTCCCCTCAAAGCCCACATTTCTGGATTATATCCGGCCACGTTCCTGGACTTGCCGTTATGTGTTTTAGAAGATTGGACTAGTTTCCTTCCTTGACACTGAAGATTGGGTACTCTACCTGACTTGGGGCCAGCATCTATTACCAGCTATTACTGATGAAGTTATTTGTGTTATTTGGACCACTCCATGCTTGACAGATGACTCACTCCATCCCTAGGTCATCTGGAGCTGAGCTATTGGAAGTTTACTGGAATTAATGTACACTTAAGCAGTGCTTTTTTTGTTTTATTTTGTTGAGAAGGAAGACTTCCAGCTAACATAATGACAGATGTTTGCTGGGTCATATTGGCTTAAGCCTCAGAAATTACATCTTTTGTTTCTTGACTATCTAGAGACTAAACATCATGTTTTCTTGGCCATTGAATTAGCCAAAACACTTATGAAGAAATCATTTAAATACCTCTGGCTTAGAAATTGTTTTCATGCACACCGATGGGATGTATGCTAATTAACCATGCAATTGGGATAGAAAAGAATATGGAACGTTTTGCTATTTCTATTAGAGAGAAAATATCTACTTTCCAAAGATAATCTTATTATAAATCCTAATTTGTGGGTTAGTTATTGTTCTTCTCAGCCTATATTTTCTTGAAAAAAGTTTGGTTCTACCCAAGTTTTACCTTGCTTTTACTATACAATGTAAGTCATGGTTTCTATGAAGCAAAATTACATCTCTCACCTTGAATTCTTGAATTTTCATTCATAATATCTATTGAGAAGAACAGAAATAGGATGGGAAAGAGAAAGAAGGCACAGGACAAAGAAAAATACTTCCTCTTGTAACTTTTAAAATAATTTTTTAAAAAACTTGCGTAGTCAATCATGTATTTAAATTATTTTATCATGGAACTTGTATGGAAAATAATTTTTAAAAACTTTAAGGTCATAACTTCTTTTAAGTTATTTAGAAAGTATCCTTTAGTACAGTTATTTTGTTGTCTAATAACTACTGACTAATAACTAGTAAGTCTGTAACTGAAGTATTAATCGCCTCCAATAATATTAAAGTGATTTTTAAAGATCCAGAAGCTGGCTTCTGTATGTTCTCAATTATACATTTAGTGGTATTATACTTTAGGTGAAACAAATTATTATGTGCTCATTTTCAGGAAAATGTACTCTATTGTGTGATGTTCCCATGTTATAAGGTGCCCATTGCTCATATAGTGTGGTGTGAGGACTTATTTTGTTTGTATGTATGAGGTGTGACTATGTAAAGATTGAGCATTTGGAGGGAGTATCTGAGACCCTGCATGTAGTTCAACTTTCCACCCAAAGAAGTAAGACTTACGAATTATTAAAAAATTACTGTTATTTAGGGCAGACAACTTGACAGGCCCTCTTGGAATTCTAACAGTCTTACTGTTATCCAAAAGGTTTGGGGAAATCTTTTCCAAAATATTTTAAAGACAGTTTGAGTCTATTATAATAAGAAGTAGAGAGAGTTTCTTAATAGTCACAACTTAATCTGTAGCACATATACTCAGTTTAATCACCTATTTCATTCCCCATATCTTTGATTCAGGTGAATTTAGGCAGTTTTTAAACACCACATGCAATTTCAACAGACAGAAGTGCACCTCAAAGTTATCTTCCACATGTTCTTACACGGTAATGGAACCATAACCTCCAAACAGGACTGCTTTAATATACCTTCTAATTACTGGTGTTTTTATTAAAAATTAAAATTAGTCAACCACTTACATTTACAACTGCAGTTTAAATATGAGGGAGCTGATAAAAATGAGCTTGATGTAAAATTTGGTTATGAATAAGCCAACCTATTAAAGTGAGAGAATGAAATTCTTAGTTCTGTATTTCTGTTAAGTAATGTAAACATATACTCTCATAGAGAGGACTTTGTTGTTCTGTACTGATTCTAAATACTGTATTTGTTGGACTGATTAAGGCTATTTAAAACACACACACACACACACAGCCCTAGCTGGTTTGCCCCAGTGGATAGAAAGAGCGTTGGCCTGTGATTGAAGGGTCCCAGGTTTGATTCTGGTCAAGAGCACTGCTTGGGTTGTGGGCTTGATCCCCAGTAGGGGGCATGCAGGAGGCAGCTGATCAATGATTCTCATCATTGATGTTTCTATCTTTCCCTTCCTCTCTGAAAACAATAAAAATATATTTTAAAGTTGACTCTATAAGTTAAAAATACAAAAAAAACTATCTTCCCTTTGTTTATTAGTGATTTTTTTTCTGCCCTAGATTTTTATGTGACAACAAATAATTCGTGTTTAATTAGAGACACTTTAGAATGATAAGACTTTCCTGAGAAATTTTCAGAAACACTCAAAGGAATAGCAACTTTCTGTGTAAGGAACTATAATAGTTTGGTAGTCATGGTCTTCTCACTAGTTGCTTTTAGCAAAAGTCTTTAAACAAGTGAAACAAAAACGTCTTAGTAATATGTTTCAGGCAGATTGATTGATTCTTTTTCCCCTCTTGCTAAAATTATTTTCAGATACTGGATACTTTTTTCCTTTGAAAGTAATGAATTTAAAATTTCTTTCCTGCAAGAGATATTGATAGTAACTATTATTTTGAGTGTGTTATCCAAGAGAACAACTAAGAGCTCTAACTTTGTCATAAATTTGTTAGGTGCTTTTATATTCTCAATCCTGGGTAAGGAAGGGAAATGGAGTTACTTTGCTGGGTTAATGTGCTACAGGTGCCTTGCCTTAGAATTTAGTTAGAAAATTGAGACTACAACATTTGGAAGCAAGAGGAGTGGGGAAAATGTTTATTTCCCCTTTTTAATCATTGCAAGGTAAAACTGAATGACATTGACAGGTTAAAGTACAGAGTGTAAGTGTTCTATATTTACAAACAGATTATGCTGTAGAAGAAATTCATTTAGTATGGGCAAATTTCATCTATCAGAATTACACTTGCCTAGAAAATTGAATCCTGAAGTCTTAGAGAAAACATGTCAGAACATTGTATGCTTAAAAGCTGGTCATGTGGGTTGTGTAGCCTGAAAAGATAAAATTTATGAATTGTTGAAGTCTTTTATGCAAAAAAAGATAATCTTTGTTTTGTGGGATCATAAGTAATTTTTTTGTACAGCTCATTGTTTTGTATGGGGAAAAATAATGAAGGTAAACTCATATAACTATAGGAAATAGGTAGCTTAGACCAGTAAAAAAAATAAACTATTACGCTTTAGCCCAGCATGTAAAACAGATAAAATATCACTGCTTCTGGTTGAGACAGAGATGGGGGTGCTGGAGCCCTTCGTGTTTGAACCCCCCAAGTTTGAAAACCAGCAGGGAGAAAGCATTCTGCGGACATCCAAGTCTGAGGATGCTTAGGTACCTTATGTGAAATGGCCTATTTACATATAACCTACATATCCTCCTGTACAATTTAATCTCTAAATTATCTGTGATCCATCGTGTAATATAAGTGGGTTATGAATGGTTACACTTTATTGTTTAGAATGACAAGGAAGGAAGCCTATACATGTTAAGGAGATGCAAGCATCACAGGCTTAATTAACTACATGGTACACATCAGCAACCGTCTAAATTTTTTTCAAGTATTTCCCACCCAGGGTTGATTCTGCAGATGCAGGATGTGTGGATATGAAGGGCCCATTGTATGGTAGTTACAGTTAGAAAAATATTCTCTAGTTACCTTCCACGGTGTGGCTTCACTCACCTGTCTCTGTAGACGAGTAGGAAGGGGAAATCTCTTCAGAAATTAGACATGCCCCCTCTTTGATGAGTTTATTAAAGTTTCGTGTCCTGTCCTTCTAGGCTCAGCTTGCATTTGGACCCAAAGTAGCTAGGTTCATGTATCTGACTAATAAAGAATACCAATTTGTAAATATACCATGAGAAATCGCACATGGAGTGATATATTTAGGTTGTTATTGCCACTGAATCTGTTCTCTGTAGAAATGCAATTTACTGTATGATGAGAAAGATGAATGTATTTTAGGCTGAATCGCCACCATGTGCCAGGTACTGTGCTATGCACTGAAGATACACTTATGAATAAGATAGAAAGCATATTACTTCCCTGGCTGGGTAGCATTGTCCGATAAGCCAAGGTTTTGGGTTTGATTCCTGATCAGGGCACATAAAAGAATTGACCCATTAGTGCATTAATAAGTGGAACAACAAAATGTCTATGTCTCTCCCCCTTTCTCTAAGGTCAGTAAATTTTAAAAAGCATTTCACATCATGTAGGCACAATCCTGTGGAATCAGAAGGATGGTACTTAAGTGAATTCTGACTTGAAACTAAGACAATTGGTGACATCAGTTCCATTTTAGTGGTGTCCTTGTGTGGAAACAATACTAGAAGCTCTTCTGCCCCAGAGAAGAGTTTGGCTGAGCAGTGCCTAGATTTTTCAGTGTCCCTTCTTTACCATTTCTGGTTAATGCCTTGATTTTTTTTAGTTACATTAAACAATTCTGGCCTATTTCACATTCAGACTCCTTGCATGCTGTGTGCTCACAGATGTGTGTGTAAACCCTGCCCACACACTGGGGAAATTAGTTGGTAAAAAGGACATCATTGCAAAAGCACACCTACTATTCCTGGTGCTTTTCCCAGTTCAGGGCATGTTTGATGATCACACTGACGGGCTCTCTGAGGAAACGGTTGGTTCACCTGAGGCCCCAGATGACTCTGCTGCTGAGTTGATGTTGACTGCCAACAGAAGTCAGCCAACAAGCAATATTGGCCCCATTTACAACTATGACTGTCACTTCTATGTCTTGATGTTTCAATTTAGGAAAATTATCATCTGCTCATTCTGCATTTTTATCTCCATTTTAGGGTTCTTGGTATAGTTCAAAATTATGAGAGGATCTTTCACAAAAGTAGCAGTTGTATTCTGAATGGTCTTAGTGTAATGCTCTTATCTTCTCATCTACTGTACTTATTACTTTACATATTTCTGCGACTTTAACCCAGACCTTTGCTCAGGAAACAGCATGTATAATCACATCATTGGCACAGGATAGAAAATGAGAAGTAACCTTTTTTTTTTTTAACATTTAAAAAACTATTCCTTTTTAATATATTTTTTTCATTGATTTCAGAGAGGAAGGCAGAGGGAGAGAAACATCAATGATGAAAATCATTGATTGACTGCCTCCTGCATGCCCCCTACTGGGGCTGGGCAATCAAACCCACAACCTGGCTGGAATCAAACCTGGGACCTTCTAGTCCACAGGCCAATGCTCTATCCACTGAGCCAAACAGGTTAAGGCGAGAAGTAAACTCTTATGTCTCCACCACAGTTTCAATCACTTCCCAAATCCTATAGACTATTCTGTGTATCTCTTGAATCTGTTCACTTATCTCTATCTCATCTATCAATGTACTACTTAGATTTAAAAACAAACAAACAAACAAACAAAAAACTAGGTTAAGTTTATGCAAGGTGATACTTTGTTTTTCCAATACCTATAAGACGACTTTTGAAACGAAAAAAAGTCAACTGAAAATCGGGGGCAAAAGGCCAAAATTGCACAAAAATTACCTGCAGCTCTTGACGGCAAAGTAAGTATTTTCTTTGAAGTGGGGGGTAGTCTTATACAGCGAATATAGGCCTAAACCTGTTTTAACTGTAAAATTAGGGGGTCGTCTTATATGCTGGAAAATACGGTAAATGCTTGAAACCATGTATAAGCTGATTTGGAGTTTTGGGACCTTTGTATGGTTCCTAATTATAATGCAGAGTCACAACAGCAGTGAGGGGCGAGGAAAGCAAATACGGTACACTATGGGAGAAAATTACCTTCCACCTGCTTGTGCATTGATTGCATCACCGGTTTTGAAGGTTGCCACTCCTTAATGGTGAACTGTGCGTGCTATGTGAATGCTATATGTGTGTTTTAATTCTTGGAAAATCTACAGAAAAATTAGAATGATGGAAGACAGGGCTAAATACTGTAAAGGCTAAACGTGTTTGATGAGGAGTAGAGGCTAAACGTGTTTGATTAGGAGAATGAAAAGAGGTCTTTGAGATTGATTTTATTTTCAACATTTTGCTTATATTTCTCATTACTCTTACCCTGGAAACCAGAAACTTGTCTATCCAGACAAAAGCAATAGAACTGTCTAGTTGATTTCCAAGTGTCACGTATTGAAGGGTGCTTGTGCCAGGCGCTGTGCTTAGCACACTAAGGAATATGACAATTGAACAAGGTAAGTTTTCTTTCCTTCTGAAAGTTATTTTCTAGACTAGAGGCATCCAGACGCTGGGATTTCAGCACTGTTTGGCATTACAGGCTCCATCGTGTACAAAGCGGTCTCTGGTGGCTGCAAGGGGCAAAGGTGTTTATCACACTCTTTCCTAAGAACAGGTTTTCGAGCAAAACCCGATTTTGCCTGGGTTGGCTCAGGCTTAAGGGCGATTTCTTTTTGTTCCGTTCCCCTCCCTCTTCCCCTACAAACGTTCCAAGGAATGCCTTCCGCGTGCTCGGGAGAGCGTTGCTTAAGTGTCCTAGGAAGACTTGATCCAGATTGCAAGGATCTGGCTATCCCAAAGGCAACTCAGTTTAAACTATCCATTCCCACCCACCCCCCCCCCCCCCCCCCGAAAGTGGCTTTTAGAAAAATATGCAAAACAGCGAAAAACTGTGCGGAGGGGGAGTAAAATGAGAAGGGAACAACGAGAACAACAAGCATAAGGGACTGAAGCTCAAATCCTGGGGCGCCTGCAGCGGTCCGCCTGGGGGGGGGGGGATGGCGCATGCGCACTATCGCCATGCACGTGTGTGGGAGCCCTCCAGACACTCTCGGGCTCTGGGAGAATGGCCCGATTAAACATTTTTATTTCGTTGCTACTGAATTTGTGCTGCGATTTAAAACACAACGGAGTCCCCGAGAGACTGTTGGGGTTCTTAGCTGCCTCCCTCCTTCTCAGGCACCGCCGAAGGCAGCCCTCAT